ATCCAGCACCTTCTTCTGGCTTCCCCAGACACCCACATACGTGTGGCATACAGACACACAAACACACATAAAATTAGTTATAATTCTAATATATGATTAAATGAACCAAGGATTATTTAACTTAGTAAGAAAGCCAGCCACTTTCTTTTTTTTACATAGCATTTACATTTTATTAGGTATTGTAAGGAATGCAGAGATGATTTAAAGTATGTGGGGTCATTTGCATAGGTTATATGCAAATACTGTATCATTTTATAAAAGGAATTTTAAAGAGGGACATGGTACATATGCCTATAATGCCAGCACCTGAAAGGCTGAGGCAGGGGGATCACTGCAAGTTGAGGGAGGCCAGCCTAGTTTGATTCAGGGTTTTGTTATTGGTGTTTGCATGGATTGGAAAGTCAGCCACTTTATACTTAGAAGTATATTTTCTGGGACCTTTAGAGAAGGTTCAGGAGCTAAGAGTGGGTTCTTCCAGAGGTCCCAAATTCAAGCCCCAGGATTCCTCTCAGGCGGCTCACAACTGCCTGTAACTCCAGCTCCAGGAGGTCCAACTCCACTGGTCCTTCTGGGCACCTGTACCCACATGCACATATCTGCACACAGATGCACACATCCATATAATTAAAGAAAATAAATGTTTTTAAAGTATATATTTAATGAATTAGAAGAACAGAGAGTTAATCAAGACATTTTTCTGGAAACAGCAGTAATTGCACACCTTTTTGGTTTGTTTGTTTTTTTTAACATTGTAATATAGCTTTAGTTTTAGAAGGATGTCTAATTTACTCCTTTATTATATTAGCATAATATAGTCAGCAGCCTCTTCTTATTTATTTTTTTAGTTTTGTCTGTTGTTTGTTTAGTACAGGGCTCACTGTATAGCACTGACTTACTGGTGCTCTCTGTGTAACCCAGGCTGGTTTCTAACTTGCAGAACTCCCCATGCCTCTTCCTCCTGAGTGCAGGGGGTTTGGGTTTGGTTTTTTGGTTTTTCAAGACAGGGTTTCTCTGTGTAGCTTTGGTGCCTGTCCTGGATCTCGCTCTGTAGACCAGGCTGGCCTCGAACTCACAGAGATCTGCCTGCCTCTGCCTCCCAAGTGCTGGGATTAAAGGTGTGTGCCACTGCCACCTGGCCTGAGTGCAGGTTTTACAGTCATGCGCACCACTTCAGGAGAAACGTGTGTGTGTGTGTGTGTGTGTGTGTGTGTGTGTGTGTGTGTGTGTGTGTGTAATATAAATATAAAATAGATTATTACCACTGGCAGGAGTAAATTGGCACAGACACTGTAGAATTCAATATGGAGGTTTCTTTGAAATGTAAAAATGGGACTACCATATGGGCTGGCAAGATGGTTTAGATGCTGAAGGCTCTTGCTGCACAGACCCAATGACCTGAGTTCGATCCCCAGAGCCCATGTAGCGATGGAAGTGGTAACTCTATAAACTTGTCTGTCATGGGCACACACACATGCACACAAAATAAATAAAACTTAGTAACAACAACAAAAACAACTCTGCTATATGACCAAGCAATTGAGGTGGGTTTTTCTGTCCTGCTCTCAAATAACCACATGGAGACTTATTAATTAATTATGAAAGCTTGGTCAATAGCTTAGGCTTGTTTCTAACTAGCTCTCGTAACTTAAATTAACCGGTATCTTTTAATCTATGTTCTTTTTTGTGACTTGGTTACCTTTACTTTGTAATGCCCATGCTGCCTACTCTCCTCCCTTCTTCTTCCCAGCATCCTCTGTGCCTGGAAGTCCTGCCTAGTTATTGGCCATTCAGCTTTTTATTAAACCAGTCAGAGTGACACATCTTTACAGTGTACAAAAAGATGATTCCACAACACAGCAATACCACTTTTGGTGTATTTTTAAATCCCATGATTGAGATATTTACCCATTTCTGTATTTGCTGCAGTAATCATAATAGCTAAGAACTGGAACCAGACAACGGATAAAAGAAAATGTGTGTGTGTGTGTGTGTGTGAAGTGGAATTTTATTCATCCATGAAGAAAAATGAAATCATGATACTACTAAAAAAATTCATGAATCTGGAGAAGATTGTGCCATACAAAATAAGCCACCTCAAACATATACCACATGCTTTCTCTCATATGCTTATTCTAAATACTAATTTTTATTCATGGGGGCAGGTGTGGACTTAGATTCTGAAACTAGAAAAGGGTTTATGAGAGGAGAGGAAGAGATCTCAAGGGAGGGAAGGGGAGAAAAGGAGAGAGTAATTATAGTACATGTGACATGTGAATAGAGGAGACCAAGGGGTAGGGATAGGGAGAGGAAATGATGGAGGAGGGAAGAGGGGGGGAAATATGAAGAGCAAAGTATGTATGGAAATGCCAAATGAAACCCATCCCTGTCAAGGATGGTGGCGCACACCTTTAATCCCAGCACTTGGGAGGCAGAGGCAGGTGTATAGCTGAGTTCGAGGCCAGCCTGGTCTACAGAGAGAGTTCCAGGACAGCCTGGTCTACATAGTGGGACCCTGTTTTGGAAAAAACAAAAGAGGAGGAGGAAGCAGCAGCAGCACATAACTTTGTATATTAACTTTAAAAACTAGTAAATAAAATAGAAAGGTTTATAAAAGGTTAACACTCAGGTAAATATTTTTGTTTCGTGATTAGAGTCTCAGCATTATGAAGAGTTCTAGAGATGGATAATGGTGATAGTTGTACAACGGGAACTGTATTTTATGCCACAGAACTGTACACTCAAAAATTATCAAAATAATAGATTTTTGTATTCTGTGTTGTTTTGCAACAATAAAAAATAAGAATAAGGAAATTACATTGAGATGCTTACAGTAATTTTACTATTGCTATACAAATACCTGAGAAAAACAAAAGAAGAAATTTTGACAAGTTTTAGAGATCTCAGTCCGTAGTTGCCTTGTGTGTTTGGGCAGATCATAGTATCAGGAGCATGTGGCAAAGGAGCTTCTTCGTGGGAGATGGGAAACAGGAATAGTCCAGGCAATACATACGACCCCGGGGGTACCCTCCCACAACCACTTCCTTCTACTGATCCCACCCCTCATATTTTACCACCTTCCAATAATGTCACATATGAGTCAGCTCTCATGATCTAAGTATGTCTGGATATACCCTCACAGACACCCCAGAATGTTTGACTCTCCTAGGCTTTTCTTTATCCAATCAAGTTGATGATCAAGATTAATTAAATATTATAACACCTATAATCTTGCCATAGAAGTAGATAAGAAGAGCACATTAAGAATAAAGTCAGGGACAGGAGAGGTGGGTCATTGGTCAGGAGCACTGACTAGTCTTCCAGAGAACCCTGGTTCTAGTCCCAGAACCCACATGGTGACTCACAACCACGGGTGACTCTGGGTCCAGGGATCTAATGCCCTCTGCTGGCCCCTGCTGGCACCAGGTCCACTTAGTTCACAGCATCCATGGAGGCAAACACCCATCCACACAGCATACAAATTAAAAAAAAGAGTGAAGTCAGGCCAGGCGGTGGTGGTGCACGCCCTTAATTACAGCACTGGGGAGGCAGACGCAGGCGGAGCTCTGAGTTCGAGGCCAGCCTGGTCTACAGAGAGAGTTCCAGGACAGCCAGGGCTACACAGAGAAACCCTGTCTGGAAAAACAAATAAGCAAAAAAAAAAAAAGTAAATTCAGCAGGCAGTGGCAGCACACACATTTAATTCCAGCACTTGGAAGGCAGAGGCAGGTGGATCTCTGTGAGTTCAAAGCCAGCCTGGTCTACAATTTCAAGGACAGCCAAGGCTACAAAGAGAAACTCTCCAAAAAAAAAAAATATAATAAAATAAAAAATAAATAAATAATAAATAAATAAATAAACAAACATACTGAGCCATACGGAAGATCCCATAAGACTAACACATAAAAATCCAATGGCCTACAGCAGTGATTCTTAACCTTCCTAATGCTGAGACCCTTTAATACAGTTCCTCACGCTGTGGTGACCACCAACCATAAAATCACTTACCTACTTACTTACTTACTTATTTAGGTTTTTTGAGACAGAGTTTCTCTGTGTAACAGTCCTGGCTGTCCTGGAACTCTCTCTGTAGACCAGGCTAGCCTCGAACTCACAGAGATCCGCCTGCCTCTGCCTCCCAAATGCTGGTATTAAAGGTGTGTGCCACCACGCCTGACCCTGTAAAATTATTTTTGTTGCTACTTCATAACTATAATTTTGCTATTGTTAGGAATCATAATATAAATATTTTTTGAAATAGAGGTTTGCCAAAGGGGTCACGACCCTCATGTTGAGAACCGCTGGCCCGGAGGAATCTTGGCCAAGGACAGGAGAACTGCAGTCTTCCTGGCTCCTCACCACTACTCTAATGTATTAAAATAACGAGGTAGATTAGGAGGGATGGGGTTAGCGCATTTCCGTTCTAATCTTGGCTTCATCTCTTCCTTGGAAAAGTCACTTAACTCTTGTGTGTTTCAATCTTCCTGTCAGCAGAACAGTGACGTCTGCCTTCCTTATCTCACTGGCACAATAAAAGAGTTATAATGACCCAGATGAAAAAAACCTCCATAAAACATGGCAAGATTTTGTTTCTACTTGAATAGTCAAAACAGTCCATACATTCTTACCCTCTATCCGTACTTTTAAAATTTGCAAAAATTAATTGTATATTTTTAAAACTTATGCAACAGAGCCCAAGTTCTTAGAATACTGCACTGAATTTAAAAACAATAAAGACATTTACATGTATGCTTGAAAGGGTTTAATACATATGATTTCTGTGCTTGTACTAGAAATACCTCTGCTAGTCTGTCCTCTATGATAATTAGAAATTCTGTCATCCTTTCTGTAAATACACAGGTGAATCTGTCCCAGAACACCAGATGGCTTTTCAGACGGAAGTTGGCAACCACCCCACTTTTGAGGATATGCAGGTTCTTGTGTCGAGAGAAAAGCAGAGACCCAAGTTCCCAGAAGCCTGGAAAGAAAACAGCCTGGTAAGAAAATGAGGACTTCTTACTAGAACTAGATAAGTCTCAATGTTCTTGAAGCAAGAATAGAAGCCGCCTAGCTGTGGTGATTCATGCCTGTACCCTACCCCTGGGTGAGGCAAAAGAATCACACGTTCAAGGCCAGCCTGGGCTTCAGTAAAACATTGCCAAAGACAGATTGGGGGTGGTGGTACAGAGGTAGCTATATAACCAACTTGATCTAAAAAGTTAAATAAAGTAAAAACATCAGAATTGTGTTTATATAAGTGTTTCCTATACAACAAAATACCGAGCTTGTACTCACAAGAACCACACATACTTTGTTCTTTGCTCTAGGCTCTTGCCATTTGGGAAAGCTTGTTTTTAAAGCACCATCCAGTGGGTTCCCTGGCTCCTTGTCATCTTTCTTTTTCATTCTTTCTAGGTTCTACCTAGAAGAAACATTTCTTTTAATCTTTGTCTTTCTCTTATAATTTTCTTCTTTTGATGATGTTCCATTTAAGAAATGTGTATTACTGTGTGTGTTAGGTGTTAGACATTACAAATCGTTGCATGTTTAAAACCTTTCCATCTTAGTATCACACATGAGTGGTACATTGCCAGAGTAATAGTCTCAAGGTTGAAGCTGTTCTCCGGCCTCCAGTCTCGCTCATTGTTGGGGCAGGTGAGTGTATGCTGTGGTGCACATTTGAAGGTCATAGGACAACCTGGCAGTCTGTTTTCACCTCCTGCCTTGTTGAGATAGGGTCCTCTTTCTTTCTGCCACACTGCTTACGCCGGAGTACCTGCCCATGCGCTTCTAGGCAGTCCTGTCTCCCAGTACAAGTGCTGGCTGGGGTCATGTGTTAATCACACCGAGTGCTTTTAAATGGGTTCCAAGGATTGAACCCAGAACTCAGGTCGTCAGGCTGGCAGGAATAGTGCTTTTACGCACCAACCCATCTCACTCAGACCTCCATTGCTTTTTGTTTTGTTTTATCATTTTCTTTTCTTTGTTCTTTTGAGACAGGATCTCATTAAGCCCAGACTGCCCTACACTTCATACATAGCTGAGAACAACTTTGAATGCCTCATCCTCCTGCCTCCACCTCTCGCATGTTGGCTGTCTTACTGTTCTGTTGGTATGCAGAGACGCCGTGATCAAGGCAAATTATAAAACATTATTTGTTGGCTTGCTTAAGTTCCAGAGGGTGAGTCCATGATCATCATGGCAGGAAGCATGGTGGCAGACAGACAGGCATGGCACCGGAGCAGTAGCTGAAAACTTACATCAGAACCATAGGCAGCAGGCAGAGAGTGAGACAGAGCCTGCTGTGGGCTTTTGAAACCTCAAAGCCCACCCCTAATGAGACGCTTCCTCCATCAAGGCCACACCTCCTAATCCTTCCCAAACAGTTCCACTAACGGAGGACTAAGCATTCAAACATATGAGCCCATGGAGGCTATTCTCATTCAAGCCACCACATTGGGATTACAGGCATATACCACCACACCCGGTTTTGTGCTTTGTTTTTTGAAAGACTTATTTATTACGTATAGTGTTCTGCCTGCATGTACGCCTGCACACCAGAAGAGGGCACCAGATCTCACTGCAGATGGTTGTGAGCCACCATGTGGTTGCTGGGAATTGAACTCAGGACCTCTGGAAGAGCAGCCAGTGCTCTTAACCTCTGAGCCAACTCTCCAGCCCTGTGCTTTGTTTTTGTTTTTGTTTTTCTGTAAGCTGTTAAGACTTACTTTGCCATTGCAATTTTGAAATTTCACTTGGGCATATGTTAGCATGGATCTTTTCATACATTTTTTTTTCCTGGATATTGGATAGATTTTTAAGTTTGAAAATCCAAATACTGTCCTCAGTCGGGACTTCTCCAGTGTTTATTTTAAAATTACTTCTTTCCTTACATTTCTTTGTCCTTGAATTCTCACTAAACGAATTTTGAACCACCTGATGGTCCAAGTCTGATATTCTTCCTTGTAGTTCCCATCTGTCTTTTGTTTGGGAAGCAGGGCTGCACGAGTCCATACTGACCGCATAGCTGAGGGTAACTTTGAACTCCCGTCGTCACCTCTGAAGTGTGTGTGCACAGCCAAGCTTACGTGGTGCTGTGACCTGACTCGAGGTCTCGTGTCCGCTAGCACCACCAGCCGAGCCGTATCCAGCTTCTGTCCGGCTTCCGTCGCTGTCCTCGATGCTCAGCATTTGCTCCCCCACCTTTTGAGCTAGCCGTTAAGTTCTCACAACACTGTCACATCAATCATTTGTTCATTATATATTTAATTTCCTGGGATGGCAGGATGGCTCCTCAGGTCAAGGTCTTGCCAAGACCTGATGATGGCTTCCGATCCCTGGAACCCACAGAGTGGAAGGAGAGAACTAATTTCTGAAAGTTGTCCTCCGACCACCATGTGCACACCATGACATTTGCCATTCTCCCCAATAAATAAATTAAATTTTTATTATTTCTAGAAGGTTGTATTGCTTTACATTTCCTCAGTGGTCTCTTCTTAAGGTAGTAATGATGATTACTTCTGAAGGTATTTAGTACATCTTTATACTTAGTTCATATTAATTTTCTTAACTATAATTAAAGAACAAACGAAGAAATTTTGTAATTTAAATAATTTTACTATGTATTTTCCCATCCCAGTTACAGATCGCCTCAGTAGAATAGAATATTTTCATTGTGTCCTATCAGAGAAGAACTAGAGAGACCCTGTGTATTTCCATTCAACTGGTTTGAACTTTATCTTATTGGTCATCTTTGTTGACAGATCACCTCAAGCTGGCCTATGTTTCAAATGATACTGGAATCTTCAAGCATCTGGCTGTTGACGAGCTTGTTAAGTTCATAGTCACAATTGCCTCCAAATTGCAGTTTTTGCTCTGCAAGCTTGGGCAGTTCCTTAAGAGGCCCTGGTAGTGGGTTAGAGGATGAATTATATTCTGCCAGGATTTCCCAGAGCTGCCAACTTCATGAAAAATGTCTATGAAATCTGAAAATTTGGTATAATAAATTACAACTTCATCTTTTCATCTTCCTTAAATTGTTTCATTTCACTACAACAATTTTGAAGTATTTGTTGGCAACCCTACCATTGTGAGATATATAACATACACAAATTTACCTGAAAACTTTTTACTTCTAATTTAGATGAAGTTGCTAAGTAAGGGATTTTTAATACTTGGTTTACTTCCAACAAGTCCATTTAAACTTGATATGGTACAGAAAAAAAAAAACAAACAAACAAAAAACACAACCTGGTTTCTCTTCAATAGCAATACAGTACAAGAGTTAGGGAGGAAGTATATAGTTTATTAAAATGACTAAAGGTTTACTAATTCTTTAAAAAAGGAAGAACTTTTTTTAAAAAAAAAATGCAGTTTAGGTGGGCATAGTGGAGCACGCTTTTAATCCCAGCACTCATTGGGGAGAGGCAGGCGGATCTCTGTGAGTTGGAGGCCAGCCTGGGCTACAGAGTGAGTTCCAGGACAGCCAGAGCTACATAGTGAGACCCCGCCTTGAAATAAAACCAAACCAAAACAAAACAAAAAAAGCTTATTGACTCTTATAGTTATCTACTAATTACTTTTTAAATTTCAGTGTGAGAACCCCATTTAACTTTCTTACAGGGCAAGTCTACAACAGTGACTTCCTCAGATTTGATATATCTGGGACTATCTTCATTTCTTCATTATTGAAGAATAACTTCAATAATTCAATATTTGATACGTAATTCTTCTTAACAGTTGTTTTCTCTTTCAATGCTTTAAATATGCCATACCTGTGCTTTCTGGTTTCCATTGAATGCTGGCTTTTGATCTTGTCGGGGAATCTGTTTTAGTTTCTTATTGTCAGGATCTCTGTGCAGTTTTGGATGGCACTTCGATTTTAACTTGTCTTACCATGGAGCTATGGGGTGTATCCTGCTTGGAGTTCATCAGGTTTCTTGGGTCTATGGATTCACTTACTAAATTTGAGGAGTTTCAGATTGTGTGTTCAAGTATTCCTCCTGCCCTTTTCTCCTCCCCTTCAGGAATTCCTGTTTTGTGTATCTAATATGTTTGCTCCTGTGCTGGGAATTACTTCTCAGAAGTCTTCTGGTTTCTATTCCTTTTCTCTCATTCTTCTGACTCCTGTCCTCAGACTGAACAGCTTTGTTTTTCCATCTCAAATTCACAGGTCCTTTGTTCTGTCTGCTTATTATCTGCTGTTGAGTCTTTCATATAAATACTTAAATATCAAAATATTGTGCTTTAAAGTATCATTTTAAGTATTTTAAAAAATAATGTCTATCTTTTATTGATTTCCTGTTTGTTAAAACATTACTTTAATCTTAGGGCGGGGGTGCTGACGAGAAGGGTCAGTAGTTAACAGTACTTGTGCTGTTACAGAGGATCTGGGTTCAGTTCCCAGCACTACATAGCAGATCAGAACTGTTCAGAGCATCGATTCCCGGAGGTCTAGTGCCTTCTGGGTTCTGCAAGCCCCAGACACACACAGTACACACATCCATGCAGGCAAAACACCATATACACAACATAAATAAATACAGTATTTTTTAATGATTTATTTATTTATTTTATATCATTGGTGTTTTGTCTGCATGTGTGTTGGTGTGAGGGTGTCAGATCCCCTGGAACTGGAGTTACAGGCAGTTGTGAGCTGCCATGTGGGTGCTGGGATTTGAACCCGGGTCCTCTGGAAGAATAGTCAGAGCTTTCAACCACTGCGCCATCTCATCTCTCTAGCCCCAATAAATAAATTCTTTAAGAATTGTTTTCGTAGGCCAGGTGTGGTGACACACACCTTTAGTTCAAAGACAGCCTAGACTACAGAGAGAAACCCTGTCTTGGGGAAAAAAAAGATTTTGTGCATTTAGTTCTTCACCCATTGTTTTCTTAGTTCTTTGAGCATGTTTAAGGTAGCTCACTTGAAATTTTTTGATACCTCTAATGTCTGTACTTCCTTGATTTCTTTTAAGGTTTTAGCTTCCTGTAAGTATAAATAGACAATACAGTCTTGGTTTCTTTGCATTCTTTTTATTTGTTTGTTTGTTTTTAGGCAGGATCGCATGTATCCCAGTTTGGTCTCGAAGAACTTATTCTAGGATCAAGCATATCTTGAACTCCTGATCCTCCTGCCTCTACCTCCCAAGTGCTAAAATTTCAAATATAGCACTGTACTTGGCTTCCTTTGTAATTTCTTTTTGTTTGAAACATTTGGGGCTGTAGATTAGCTTACTAAGTCCATAAAACCCAAATAAAGAAATAAATATTATAATAACTAATAAAATAAGCAGCCGGGCACAGTGACACACATCTTTAACCCAGCACTTGAGAAGCAGAGTCAGAGGCAGGGGGATCTCTGAGTTTGAGGCCAATCTGGACTACAGAAAGAATTCCAGGACTGCCAGGGCTACACAGAGAAAACCCTGTCTCAAAAAGCCAAAACTAAATAAATAGATAAATAAAATAAAGTTAGGTATTTTGAATGTTGCAGGGCAAAAAAAAAAAATCTTAAGTATAATATTACATATACACACACCATGTAACACAATACAATATAATAAATGGGTGTTTTATACACATTTTATACACCTGGTTCAATTCCCAGCACCTACATGGCAGCTCACAACTGCCTGTAACTCCAGGTCCAGGGAATTTGGCACCCTCACACAGAGATACCTGTAGACAAAACACCAATGCACACAAAATAAAGAGATAAATCTTTTTAAAAGTCACCAAGATTAGCCAGGCGGTGGTGGCGCACGCCTTTTTAATCCCAGGAGGCAGAGCCAGGTGGATCTCTGTGAGTTCAAGGCCAACTTGGTCTACAAAGTGAGTTCCAGCCCGGGGTTGGGGATTTAGCTCAGTGGTAGAGCGCTTGCCCAGCAAGCACAAGGCCCTGGGTTCGGTCCTCAGCTCTGCAAAAAAAAGAAAAACCCAAAGTTACACAGGGTTTTCAAGAAACCCTATCTCAGAAAAAAAAAAAAAAAAGATTGTGCTAACAAGAATTTTAGCCTAAAATAGGCTTCTCAGATAAAATACTCATTGTAAATATTGCATGGTAAATACATACATACAAACACACACACACACACACACACACACACACACACACACTGAAATGTTCTTATTCACTTGAAGTTCAAATTGAACTTGGTATTCTGTATTTCCATCGCCCATTTTTGCCACCCTTAACCTATATATGTTTTTGAGGTAGAGTAAGTAAATATCAGAGCAAACAAAACCCCTTTTTTTTTTCATGTGTGTTGGGGAGGGGAGCACACTGTGCCTGGGTGTGAATGTGTTTGCATGGGTGTGGGTGTATGCAGAAGCCCGAGGTTGACATTGAGTGTCGTCTTCTGTCACTCTTTACCCTAATTTGGGGCAGGCTGTGTCGTTTAACATGGCATTGGTGCTTTGGCTAGTCCGGCTGGCCCCCTGCTCCAGGGAGCCCCGTTTTTTCCTCCAATATGCTGGGATTGCAGGTGGGCTGGCTTGCCCGCTCAGCCTTTGTTTGCAACCTGAGGGTGCTTTGCCCTGTGACCCATCTGTCCAACCCAGACGCAAAGCTTGAAGCTTAAAAAGTCCTGGTGTGTGTGTGTGTGTGTGTGTGTGTGTGTGTGTGTGTGTGTGTGTGTAAAAGATAGATATGACAAAATTTTTAGTACGTTTTGAATTTCATTAATTTTGTGTGGATGGTGTGCATGTGGGTGCACAAGCTCCGTGGTGCCTGTGGAGGAATAGAGGACGACTCGGCGCTCCCCTTCCGCCTTTACTCAGGCTCTGGTGACCAAGCTGAGATCAGCAAGCGTGTGCAGCAAGTGACTTCACTCTCGGAGCTGGCTCGCAATGGCCCTGAAAACTGACTTTTGGAGTGCGCTGTGAATCCGCACTCGTGGACCCCGGGCCTTGAAGAAACGTGCTCCGCTCTCGTAGTTGCTTAGTCCTTTGAGTAATTCTTCAAGGAGCTAAATTGAGGCTTCCTTGTTTACTTATTCCTGAGCTTTGAGGGCCCTTGTTTTCACTTTTTTAGAAGAATATTTTAGTATATTTTTTAAAATATTAGTTTGGAGCCTGTCATGGTGGCTGCCTTTAATCCAGCAGGTGGATCTCTGAGTTCGAGGCCAACCTGGATTATATAGGGAGTTCCAGGACAGCCAGGGATACACAGAGAAACCCTGTCTTTAAAAAAAAACAAACAAGAAAACCATATATATATACACACATACATACATACATACATCCTGATTTTCTTTGACCTTTTAAATTAAAATCCTAGATACAGTTAAGAACAGCATGCTGTCTGATGTCTCTTTTGTGTTTTAGGCGGTGAGATCACTCAAGGAAACGATTGAAGACTGTTGGGACCAGGATGCAGAGGCTCGGCTCACTGCGCAGTGTGCTGAGGAGAGAATGGCTGAACTTATGATGATATGGGAGAGAAACAAGTCTGTGAGCCCAACGGTCAACCCGATGTCCACCGCCATGCAGAATGAGCGGTAAGACCTGGGGGTTACAGCCATCACATGTTGTTGGTAACCGAGACCAAGGAAAGGACGGGAAAAAACACTCATAAATAAGCCTAATAGTGTGATAGCTCATATAGGACAAGGGTATCATTTTTCTGTCAGTAGTCCAAGTCTTTTAAAAATACTTATTTTTGTTATTTTTCGTTATGTGTGTATGGAGTGAGAGCAGTGATGTGCACATGAGTTAAGGTGTCTGGGGGCACGAGATCCCTCTGGAGCTAGGATTTTAGGTGGTTGTGAGCTGTAGTGCTGTGAACTGATTCGGGTCCTCTACAAGAAGAAGGCGCACTCTTAGCACTAAGCCTTCTCTCTAGCCCCTCTGTTTCCATTCTTGTACTGAAAATATTTATTTGGTATGAATACAAGACAGAATCTAATTTTATATCTAAAGATACAGTTTTAAATGACTATTAGCTGGTCATGGTGGCACTCGCCTTTAGCACTCAGATCTCTTGAGTTTTAGGCCAGCCTGGGCTACAGAGCAAGTTCCAGGACAGCCAGAGCTATGCAGAGAAATTCTGTCTCAAAAATCCAAAAGGGGACGTAGGGGTAGAAATGAATGTGGCTTACCTTTAATGTTAAAGATAAAACAGTTTCATAGTTGTAAAAAGTTTATAACTACTTCTACATATGTTATGCGGTATGTCTTTTGTTTTTATTAGTGTTCTTTCATTTCTTAAAGCACGTAGAGCTGGGACTTTGCCCGCATATCTACTCCATTTCACTGGGCACCAAGACTTCCAGACTGCCTCTCTGATACTCTTTCTTAAAGAGTACAGTAATAATACTTCTTCCTACTCCACTGTGAATACTGACTCACGAGACATT